TAGTTAGATTTTGTGTAATTATTTTTCAATCACTTTAAATGACAGTAATCCATACAGAACGTGCAAAAAATTAATAGTAGTACGCTGACTCCGCGACTTTACTTATTCGCGCCAAAACAGTGCGATCGGCGCGGAACGCATATTAGCGCCTACAAGACTGGATGAATACTTCACGCATTGCGCGTTCACTACGGTGCGCGCTGTAATGGAGATGTTGCATGTGCGAGAAATTTGCGATTTGACAATTGATTCTTATGTAAAAGTTTGCAAGAAACACGATGGTGCCACTGGTTTTCCCTGAAATCAACTCCCAAGCTCACAAAAAGCACAAAAAGCAACTGTAAATCACAAAAAGCACTCAAGTTGAGGGCGTAATGAAGGGGATATCCCGCGCTATCCTGAGAGTCCACCTCTACATCAAGACAAACTCTCTATGCAAAGATAGGGAGCAAATACATTGACAGAGCTGCCATTTTATTTGGGGACTCTAAAACTGAAAACATGGCAACCCTGCTTATGTGTTTGCTCCCTATCTTCGCATGAAGAGTTCGTCTTGATGTACACGTGGATTGTCAGGATAGCGTGGGATATCCCCATTATCCCCTCTATTTTGGCCGCAACTTGAGGGCTTTTTCTGAGCTTGGGAGTTGATTTCAGAGAAAACCAGTGGCACCATCGTGTTACTTGCGAACTTTTACATAAGAATCAATAGTAAAATCGCAGATTCCTCACATGTACAACATCTCCATTGTTGAAGATTTGTAATTTCGCTGTGCTGCACCCATACCGCGGTGTACACCATTTCCGAGCGGTGCACATTCTGAGCCTGCAATTGGAGGATCGATGTAGGTATCGTAGATTTTGCACCCTTGAGTGGTACCTTGACTCATTCATGTCAGAGTTCGTCCGTTTTTTTCTGATCGATTATCGTTACCACGAAAACCTCTCTACAACGAGGAAATCGGCCGGCCCCTTGAGTTCTCGTCATAGAGAGAGAAAGAGAGAGAGACTACTGTTTAAAGGAGACGAAAATCGTTGTCTTCATTTCCTTGATAGTCGAGTCAAGATAAAAGAGAATGGGCGAACATGCGTTGAGTGATAGGATTAGATTTAGGCAAAAAATCCCCTGACTCTATTTTTGACTTTCAAATGCACAAAGAAAAATTCAGGACCCCTCCCCTCCTGCCATTTTATTGTGTCCTTAATAGATGCAAAACAGGAACACTAAAAACTTTACGATAAGTTTTCGTCGAATACTTCAGAGCAAACATTCATATATATAAACGGCTGCCGATTTATTCCAAAAATCGCATTGTGGATACTTTTTTGTTGACTACTTCATTGTACGTTCAGAGCGAATGTTATGATTTCCCCCTTTTTTTCAATGATGAGAGGGGCTTCGAACACTCTTCATTTTAACATACGTTTCAGCCTACAAATCTTCCGGCTCCCGGCTGACTTATGATTGTACAAAGTTGTCATGCTTCCAACACAGTCCCTTCTTCGATTATATCGATTAAAATCATTCCGCAAGATGACAGCCCGAAAGCGCAAACGATACCATTTGCACTTTCGGTCCGTTGACTTGGGAAAATTTTCGCTCATGGGCTTCCGCGAGTTTGAAGACCATTTGCCTGTGATATAGCAAAAAAGTGTTTCGGTCGAATCTCTTTGTATCATCATTGTCTTGTATTTTGATGGTAAACTTAACTCTTTTTTGTCTGTCTGGAGTTGAAACACGCTTCTTCGTTGACCGTTGTTTGATATCTGCCTTGTTTGCCTTGATTTTTAATGTTTAGTTGTTGAAGATTTGACTGTACTGTATGCGTCTTTGTCTTTTGTGTCTCTCTGTGTTTGTTGTTCACGTCTTTTCTCGGCAGCCCCCATGCCCTCTTGTTGACTCCTTCCCCCTCCCTAAGCCAAGGCCTGTCCTTGTCGCCTGTCACCCCATTCTCCTCAACGTAGCCCTGCGTTTCTTTTTCCAAAGTTGTTCGTTACTCTTCGAAGTTGCTGAAACATAGCCCACCCGATCATTTTCGCAACCTTCAATCATATCGAATAGTTAGGTCCGCAATATTACACGGTATTCAGTAGACTCAAGCTTTGTAGACTCAATTACTATTATGTTCATTTGAACTGAATCTGCGATTTTTGGTAAATAACTTTGAAAATAAGTTAATTTATTCGTATTAATGATGGGTGAACGAAAAATCTCGAAATCGACATTTGCTTGAAATAGCTCGACGTTCCCGTTAACTGTCATTCTTCCACCTCGATTTTCAATGATTTTATTTATTTTAGTGAAGAGTGATTTAATTAAGTTAATAATATGTTGTCATCTGAGAGCAAAATGAGTTATCATGAGAACGTCGAATGGGATCTCAGTCGCACCATTTATCGTTGAGTTCGGCGTTCCGCGATATCGCTCTAAAGGTCGAGATTTAAAACATCTATCTACCTCTTTAAAGGACGTTTTTTCGTCTCCTTTGCGGTTTTAAAATCAACGCCCAAAATTTAGAGCGATCCCGTGGAACGTCAACATCGACGAAAAATGTTACAATTTTTTAAAGAGTCACTTAAAAATGGGTGAATTTGGAAAGTATATTTTCTGGCTGATGAAAAATGTCTCAGAAACTGCACGCTTTTAACCTCTCTTGGGTGTCAAAAATCTTCAAGTAAAGCGCGTTAGTAGATCACATACGCAGCGTGAGGTAATGCGGCATTTGATAGTCATAAAATTTGTCTTAGCCATTCTGATTTACTTGACTTAAATACAGTGGCAAATGAAAATCGTGCATTTGGCATTGTATTGCCTAGGTACTGTTACAAAGAAGAAGAAACTTATCATGACTTACATCAACTTACTCATGATACACTCACAAGTTGCTCTGATTCCTTCGTCGATGACAGTTTATCCGATTATCATCCTGTGGAAGTAGAATCGAAACAATTTTTAATTCCTCAAACTCACTGAAAGAGGATTGGATGATTCCAATTTTGCTAACTCAAATCGGTGTTGTGTTCAACTTTATCGATACTTTACACTACTTGCCAGCAAACTTATTGGTGCTCCTTTTTAGTACAATTCCAATGAGTTTGCTGCACAGTACCGATAAATTTATGTACAACGCCTATTTGGCTTATCTAAGTCAAAATAATCCAACCCTTTTTTCAGTGCTGCTTTGCATATCCGCGATTGGAACTGGTGACTGAGAGAAATTCTATCTCTTTCTGTGTGTGTGAGAATTTTTTTTTTCATTATTATTAATCTACTACATTGAAAATCATGCATATGTACTGCACATGAAAACCAGTTTACTTCAAACAAGTTGGATACAAATCTGATAAAGTCTTCAAGCATAATACACTTACTTACAAATACCCAGTTTTTACTGGTAAGTAGATCGTAAGAGACAAATTGCTACGCTGAATATTTAACTTATTTATTGTCAAGACGTCATGGTTTCAATCATGCCCGCCCTTGAGTTGCCAATAGCTTAGCCACCGTTAGCCCTAACCTAAATAATTATCTTCACTCAAAATCAGGTTTTCGCAGTCGACGAGTAAAAAAAATTGCTTTATTCCCTTCTCTTTTTTCAATCTCTTTTGAGTGCAGACGGTTGATTTTGCTCCGGCCCGAATGCGATCGGAACCGATAGTAATTTAAAAAAAAAAAATGCTTCAGGGCAGCGTTCCTTCCTTCGGTATTTTTGTTGCAAGAGCCCATGAAAAAAATCAAGATACCAATAAAAAGAGGATGGACGAAGTCATAAACTCATAAAAATCGGGACGAGGGAAACATTTATGGTCTTCTCTCATTGTTTGGAAAGAGTAGTGTAGGTGGAGATAAAAAAAGAATCGCGCATCTTACACTACCTTACCTAAAAATATCGCCCAAGCGAACCAAGAGAGGACAGCTAACGTGATGTCACCCGATAGGGTTAATTTCATTGGGTTTCGTTCATGTCTAGTAGGTGTTGCATGAAGCTCGTGTTTTCTCCTGTTTTCCTTCCTTGCTCCTCTGGATTAAAATCTTAAATGTATTAAATGTAATTTGATGGAAAAAATGTGTGTCCCCAAAAAACCCTCCATAGGTACCCTTAAAACTCGTATATGAAGATGATTTACCTCGAGAAGTTGAGAGGAACAAAAAAAGGTTCTTCTAGGAAGGGTCACGCGACTAGTTATTGTCATCCCATGCGTTAAGAGCCGAAATAAAGTTTTGAAAGATTGATTGTCTGAGTGCCTCTGTAAAATATTCCTAGATCCATCATGTCTCAATAAATAATTCAGTGTCGAGTTTTATTATAAAATTATACCGCGGAGACTTCATCAGGCATTGTAAGAGGATAGACACGAAGTCAGGAGACAAAAACTTGATAAATTGACGCCTGAGAATACCTATTTTTTTAAAATTTAAGTAATACTTTCTGAAATATATTTTGTTAGAAAACTCCTTTGATGAATGAATATCGAATGATCTCTCGAATGAACCTGAAAGAAGATATATTTAAGTTCAAATTTCCAATACCCACTGATATTATTTTTTATCGCTTATATTTTGAAGCTCTACTCTAAATGTGTCTCGAGAAAAAGGGACAATCTTCGTGGTTCGGTCCGATCTGGGTTTCTTAAAGTTTGATTCAAACAGAAAAATAATTAGTCAACACAGCTCATCAGGCATTGACATTACAATTATTAAGTCTGAATATCCGGTGGGAGTAATTCAGATACGTTTCTAAAAAGTTGCACACATTATGTAATGAACATAAAAAAATATGCTTGGTTTTACAATTATTAGTATTATGAAAATTATAAGGTTTACTGACATTTTTAAAAATATATTTTTTTTTTAATGTAAAATTTCCTAAAGTTAGATCTAGGTGTTTCCTTAAAAATTTTGAAACAAAATTGAGCTAATTTAAGTCGTAGAGTATCTCCATTTGTAAGGTAATTTGTGAGGGTAGTGACGCTAATTCACAAACGGGTCTGTGTGACAGGTATCATGACGAAGACCACGCTAACTACCTGAATTCTATGTGGTTGATTGCAATTACTCTTCTGAGCGTAGGATATGGTGACATCGTGCCTAACACATACTGCGGACGAGGCATCACTCTTACCTGCGGTATAATGGTAAGTCACCATAATAATAATGGTCCCTATAATGGTCACAATGCTAAGAACCACAGGGAACTTAACGAGCGGCTCTTGTAGAAGTACCCA